CGACCCACCCCCGACCACGGGTACACCACCCAGCAGCCCACCACTCCATGTGCTGTCTACATACTGCACATGCACCGCGGCCTCCAGGGGCGGAGCTAAGTCAAGATAGGGGGCTGGCCGTGACCACGCTCACCTGCGGCAGTGGCCTGAGGCCGAGCCACGCAACTCTCACTTCAAGTGGAACTGCTGAAGGACCAACCAGCATCGTGCTCCCACCACCAGCAAGCTACTGGAATCCTCTTGGAGCAAGGTAGCACACAGACAAAACTAGTGCTCCCTGCCCCCCTGTGGGCTCCCTGCACAGACACTGAGGGGCCTCTGTGCATCCATACAGGGGCTGGGGCAACAGGAGGTGGGCAGTGGGGAGGAGGGCAGGGAGAGGGCATGGCTCCTGCAGCCCTGGGTGCCGAGCCACTTCCCAAGGGCCAGAGGAGGTGGCCCTGGCCTGCAGAGGACAAAGTAGCTGCTGCACTAATGTCCACAGGCCCTCCGGCTCTTGTGCAGGAGCCCCAGAGGCCACAAAGGTGAGTGTGGACACTGACAGCTGCACAGGACATAGAGCCCAGGCATCCAGGCCACCTGCTAGTGATCGGGCATGAGGTCTCCTCTCCTCCCTGCTCGGGCTGATGGGTTCTTGGCTGCCATGACCCTGCTGCTCCAGTAGAAGGAAATAGTAGGCCCCACCCAGAGTAATGCACCCCAGCCCTTCTCAGGGGCTCTAGCTGACCCTGCTGCAGCGTCCCTCGGGACTGAATTCATCAGAGCACGCTTTCAACTGTTCATGGTGCCCGCAGCCACCCAAGTCACCATGAAGGGACCTGCGCTCCAGACTGGAGCTGCCACTTTGTCCTTAGTGACAGGCAGGTGAGCCTCTGCGTCCTCCCACCTCTGAGACATGGCACCATGTCTTCGCTATGCCACTTGCTCAGAGTCTCTAGAAAGTTCCAGTGAAGAATGAGCAGCCCCCCCGCCCCTTCTGGGCCTCTGCTCCTAGACAAGCAGACAGCCTTGCCTCCTAGACAAGCAGACTGCAGGGCGCAGGGCCAGGCTGGTTCCCAAGGAGTCGTGGGCCCCCTCAGGAACTCAGAGACAGTTGGCATTTGAGAACTACTGCAAGTCCAGCTCCAGCCAGGGTGCGGGGCTAGGGTCCAAGTTACCCCCTCCCACTGAAAACGCATTCCTGGGCTGCTCCTGGAGAGCAGGGGTCCTGGGCATGGTGTCTGACTCTCCGAGTAGTGTGGCATCTGGGGGAGGGAGGGTGATGCTCTGGACAGCACCACGCCCTGGCCTCAGCCTCCTCTGTGCACAGGTATGTACCCGCCAATCTGTGGGTGTGCACACGCTGGGCTGCGTGTGCTTGGGTGTGTGTGCGTGTACTGGGGTGTGTGTGCACGTACTTGGGTGTGTGTGCGTGTGCTTGGGTGTGTGTGCACACGTACTTGGGTGTGTATCGTGCTTGGGTGCGTGTGCTTGGGTGTGTGTGCGCACGTACTTGGGTGTGTGTGCACGTGCTTGGGTGTGTGTGTGTGTGCTTGGGTGTGTGTGCGCACGTGCTTGGGGGTGTGTGCATGTACTTGGGTGTGTGTGCACGTACTTGGGTGTGTGTGCGTGTGCCTGGGTGCGTGTGCGTGTACTTGGGTGCGTGTGCACGTGCTTAGGTGTGTGTGCGTGTGCTTGGGTGCGTGTGCATGTACTTGGGTGCGTGTGCACGTGCTTGGGTGCGTGTGCACGTACTTGGGTGCGTGTGCACGTGCTTGGGTGTGTGTGCACGTACTTGTGCGTGTGCTTGGGTGTGTGTGCGTGGGCTTGGGTGTGTGTGTACGTACTTGGGTGTGTGTGCATGTGCTTGTGTGTGTGTGCGTGTGCTTGGGTGTGTGTGTGCACGTACTTGTGTGTGTGTGTGCACGTACTTGGGTGTGTGTGTGTGCAGGGGGCATTTGAGGCAGACATGGCACATCCGGATAAAAACCCACTCTCTACAAGCTCAGCCATGTTTGGAGATGACTCCATGTAGATATTTGAGTTCACTGCGATCTTGGAAAAGATGGGCCGTCTCCGCAGCTGGCTTCCTGGCATTTCCCCAGGTTGGCCCACGGCTGGTGTCCTGGCTTTCAGCAGGTCCAGAGCTGTAAGAGTGACCCTGGAGGGAACCCACAGTGAGGCCGGGAGCTGAGCCATGGATGAGCAGGTGCAGAACAGGATGGGGGGCAGGCTCCCCGTGGGCACACTTGCCCTCCCTGGAGGTGGTAGGACTTGGGGGAGGGGATGCCACAGTTCAGCAAGGCACCTGCTCAGTCCTCAGTGTGGACGGATGGCAGCAGGGGAGTGTGGCCGCAGTGCCCGGCCCAGTCCTCGGAGGCCCTCCCAGCTCCCCAGCTCCCCACTCCTGCCCTTTCTGTAGCACGGTGGCGAGGTTTGGCCAAGCTCCAGGAAACACTTCTGTAACACTGCTCTTTGCATGCCTGCTCTGGCTACTTTTACTTTCAGAGACTAGTGGGAACGGGAGCGACGTCCCATGTAGAAACAGAGGTATCTGCAGGAGGGGTACCTCGAGTATAACCAGGGTGGTTCATGCTGGCACCTTCTCCCTGCTGATGGGGAGGCGAGCAAGCCTCACAGAGACTGCAATGACACCAGCCCTGAGCCAGCCCCTGCTGTGGGACAGCCGGGCAGACTGCACGCCCGCAGAGGTGGGAGGGCCCTCCAGGAGGTGAGCAGAGGTCCTCAAACGCAGAGTTCCTGGACCACAGACCAACGGCTCACCTCCACGGGCTCCCTCCTGAACCAAGGAGGGCAGCACCCACACACTCACCACGGCTTCCACCA